CTTTATATCTATTATAATACACTGTCAATTTCAAAAATGTATAACATTCCCCTCAATTTTGCCAATATCATGGTTTCTTTGACACAATAAACACGATTGAGAGGAAGGAAGGAAGGAAGGAAGGAAGGAAGAAACTTGTATTTTCGGTTTCTGAAAATATCTATTTTCTACCTTTTTCCTTTCTTATATTCTTTCTTGTAATTTCCTATATCTCTTAAAGTTATGGTACTATTCTTCAAAAAGGATTGAAATACATCTAATGTGGATAAAAACCCTTTTGGCTTATATTCCTATCAATGTGCAAAGGATCTTCGATCTAATTTCTCCAACATTATATAAATAACTAATGCAGCCCATGATTCTACACATATACCAAATTTATCTAGACCAAAAGGATATTTCTTAATTGTATCTAACATATTTTTAAGCTCGTCAGATGATTCCTTATCGATTGATGGCAATTTAAATAATTTACCAGCATTGGAGTATCGTTATACCTGTCACAAAGCAAATCCCAAACAACGCTATAATTATCTTCTGTAAATTTGAGAACACGTGTAGTTTTTTGCGCTTCACCATGTAAGGTATTTTTTAAGAGATAACACTTTTCAATATCACTTAATGATTCATTTTAGTGAACTAACGAATTGAAAGTGTCTCTAAATTCTAACCAATTATCAAGCACTCCATTAAAAAAGGTATCGATATTTCTAATTTTAATTTCAGAGTTACTAACTTCCCATCTTATTTCAGATTGATTATCAATCTGTCTAGACTTACTTATAATTTTCGTAGCCCTACCTAGTGCCTTGTTATATATATCATCAAACTCGGTTTGATATTTTTCGCAAATCTATTTACATTGAGTTTCATTTTTAGCCAATAAAAATCCTATCTGATCATGTACCCTCAAATTCAATATAAAGATTTGATATATTTTCTAATTTCTAATCTAACTCAACTACCGTATCTTCTTCGCTAATGCAACCACAGACCTACTCACATAAATCAATTGGGAGATTACTAATTAGGAAATAATTGGAACGACACCTGTGTACCAAAAAATAGTTCAGTTTATATGAAAAAAGTGGAATATCACGGTCAACACTGTCTAAAGTCTATTCAAATTTAATTTACGCCTGATGTAAACAGAAGCAGGTGGACGCTAAAATTGAGCAGGGCCGTATTTTACTTTTCCGTCTTGCAAAAATGTAAAATAAAAGAGTGTAATTGTGAAATTATTTATTACGATAAAAACATATTTTGTAAAGTAAAACTATAAAATAAATGCCATACACGGTCTCCCAGACTTCAGTGACATTTCTGGACGAAGATAGGTAAGCGACATAAACTGCGTTAACCTGCAATACAAATTAATAAATGTATTTGACTTTAAAAGAGATGGTTGCATTATATTTAGTTCATTACATATGTCTACTGTGATACAGAGCATTAAAACAATCATATTATAAAATTATATTGTACAGGGTGTCCAAATAATTGCAAATTATTTAATAGCTAATATATATCTACTAAAAGCATTAAAAAAACTTTAAATATAAGAGGTATTTGGTATTTGATTTAAAATTGTGCATCTTAAAAAGAAACCTTTTGTATTTTTGATAACTTTTGTTCTTTATTGTTCTTGTTCTACTAGTATTTAGATTAGACAACTTGTACCCTGTATTATAGCAATCTTCCTTACTTGACTTAGCACTATTCTGAATCGGATAAATTAGTTAGACTTGAAAGGCTCTATCTTCATTAATCAAAATTACAAGTGGTTCTACCTGAACCTCTATAATATTATCTAACTCCCACATTTTTGCTTCAACTTTTTGGCGAACATGGTCGATACACTTTTTCCATTTTTCTGGAGAAATTAATAATATTACTTCTTCAAAAAGAATTTTAATGTCTCCAGATTTAAATGTTGAGTTTTTATCTGCTACGTATTGTTTAACGTCAACCTAGAGTAATTCAATAGGGTTAAGTTCACAATGATACGGAGACATGTGAAGTATTATGTTGTTTTGCTGCTTAGCCATTTCATCTATTACATACCTATCATAATGTTTATGTTGCTTACCAAGTTTTAGAAGTTGGATCTTAAGCATTTGGTAGTCGAATTCAATGTTTTTCCCTTATAGCCATTTTTAAATATCACCTTTTTTAGACGTCGTAGATATTTTTTCCAGCTTTCTCGAATAATAATGCAGTTATCTTCTAATTTTGGTAGGGTGTTTGAAAACCACTCTTTGAACGATTCTCCACATATTTCTTCATTGTAGTCACTGGACTCAAATACATAAAGTGCATTAGAGACAAAGCCTTCTTCACTTCCAATATGGCATATAATGAGCTGTTTTTACGCACCTGATGGGTTTTTAAAACCAGTTAAAAGTTCATCCAAAAAGGCTTGTCTGGATGAAAAAACCGACATATCGAAACATACTTTTGATTTGGTGTGGCCTGCGTTAATCCAAGTCTCATCAAGATAATATATTTTTTGCTTTTCTTCTCTGTACCGTTTTATTTTTTGTGGCGAAGGACGAAACAATTTCATTTTTGTCTAATAGCAAACTATTTTTTCCTCGAGTTTTAAATTTAAAATTAAGGGTTTTGAAAAGCTTGTAAAATGTAGTTCGCTTAAAAGTAGACAAATATGGATCATCGTTGACTTCTTATAAAACCTAATCAATTGTTGGAAGTTAATTTCTAAAGAAGAATTGATGTACTTTGCGCCTTATTGCATTTTTATCAAAATCATCCACAGAGCCACTAATTTGTTTATAACGTAGCTTTCTTTTTGATTCAGAAAATTTATGAATCTGCCTATACTCCTTCATAACATTAAAAACGGTTTTAGCGCACATCCCTGTTTTATCAGCAACTCTCCTTTCAACATCATGTACCAACATATCAGGGTTCTATAAAATTTAATGCTTATAAATATTAAGAACAATTTCTTTAGTACGGATGACCAAATGTCCCTTTTTCAGTCGCTTTTTAGAAGGAGTAAAAACATTTTTCTGGACTTCATCTGCTGTATCTGTGGAGGACATAGTGTCACGCAGCAATTACAAAATATAGTCAATTAAATGTCCATAAAATAGAGTAACACATGTTCAAACTAACAAAAACCACAAAAAAAATAAATAACACAATATATGTATATCTAAACTATAATATAATGAATTATAATCAATCAAACATACAAAATGTCCAAACTAACCAACACGGTGAATGCTACCAAAACGCCGTTTATAATTATCCAAATTGAACTGAATTCGACTCTAACAAAAAATATTTGCGCTTCGTCTAAATGACTAACGACCGATTAACCAATAGAAGCGCAAAAAAATGTCACGTGAGCTGTTGCTGGATGGGTGAAATTGTTTTGACGCGGCGTAAATGAAATCTGAATAGACTTTAGTACCTAAATTTGGACATTACATAACAATTATGAAAAAAAAAAATGTATTTACTATGAACTAAGTAACTATGACTAAGTTAACTATGAAATAAGTATTATTTTCTCTTCACCTTGTCTAACATAAACATTAATATGTACCTCACATGGGTATTTGCGTTTCTAATAATAATACTTATTTATAACTCATAGAACATGCTAATTTTGTAACATCACATTAAACGCATTTAAAAAAGGAAAAATGGTAATTTACACTTTTACATGCATCGTTGAAACATTTGGAAATGGTTATGCTCTAAATAACAGACGTTGTTGTTCTATCACAATCAAAAGTACAGTTACGTATCGTATTTAGTCGAAACGCTCCCTCAGAACTCTGACCCTTCGGCAGGAAGTTGGAGATAAATCATTGATCTCTGGCTTACGGTATGTAACACAAAGCATCTGCAATAAATCACTTTTTAAATCGAATTATGCATAATTTATTCTATGTTGAATGTATCTACAAGTATAATAAAAACTTTCTACTTTCTATTTTCAAAATGCAGTAATTTTTTGGAACCGTTTAAGAGGTTCTATACAGTGGCTGGGCAAAATTATTCAGTACAAGAAAGTAGGTACATTATAAGCACCAGTTGAATCTAAGATAAACATTTAAACTAATTTTAAACAATAAAAAATAATATCTTTTTTTTATCTTCATCTTTATCGGTTGTAAGCAGGTAGGGTTAGGTTTGGGTATTTGCGCTTCTAATAATAATACTTATTTATAACTCATAGAACATGCTAATTTTGTAACATCACATTAAACGCATTTAAAAAAGGAAAAATGGTAATTTACACTTTTACATGCATCGTTGAAACATTTGGAAATGTTTATGCTCTAAATAACAGACGTTGTTGTTCTATCACAATCAAAAGTACAGTTACGTATCGTATTTAGTCGAAACGCTCCCTCAGAACTCTGACCCTTCGGCAGGAAGTTGGAGATAAATCATTGATCTCTGGCTTACGGTATGTAACACAAAGCATCTGCAATAAATCACTGTTTAAATTAAATTATGCATAATTTATTCTATGTTGAATGTATCTACAAGTATAATAAAAACTTTCTATTTTCAAAATGCAGTAATTTTTTGGAACCGTTTGAGAGGTTCTATACAGTGGTCGGGCAAAATTATTCAGTACAAGAAAGTTAGTACATTATAAGCACCAGTTGAATCTAAGATAAACATTTAAACTAATTTTAACCATTAAAGAACATTAACACTTATATCTTTAGTAAACTATCACAGTTTGAAGAATATTAAATTGGTTCTTTCACGAACTAGTTCAGAATCAGTGAATTACACTCATTCAGCTCAATAGGTTGTTATATTATCGCGACGTATTCTTGAAAAATAAATCCGTCGACTATATTTGAGAACTGGAATTGACGGTTCTATTTGAATCAAAACAGACCCAGTATCTAAGTATTAAATATTATGTGGCAAATGAAGTTATCCCGATGCTAAGAGTGAAAAAGTGTCATTTGGTGTTTTTAACAATATGTCTTTATTTTTTGCAGATTCCAAATCAGATCTAAGTTCCAAATGTCCGATGCTTACGGAATGTCCTTTTCGAGCTGAGGGCTGTACAGACGACGATGACTGTAGTCTAGATGCTGTTTGTTGTAAAAGTCCCTGCGGAAAAGTGTGCACCAAACAATTATTTACAGGTGGGTAATAGTATTTATATTGCAAAGGCTTTTTTAAACCTGAAAATACTGTTAAATAAAGCCCTAAATAATAATACAATAAATGAAATCTATCAAAATTAGTTAGTGTTATCAATATTGGAGTATGCTACCGTAGCTTTAAAGACCTAACGAAACAAAATGCAATTCAAGGTTAAATTCTACTAATCTCTAGTAATACTTGATAACATTTTCTTACTAATTGTAAGAACATGTACCCGTAAAACTTAAGTACATAATAACAGTAGAAATCTCCAATATTATTCATCAGGTAAAGCATTAAATAATAAATTCCTATACTCAATGGATAAAATCAAAAAAATTGTATAATGGATCTAAACCAAAATTTAAAAACATGATAAAACTTTAGGAAAGGTTGACAAACTTTAGAGTGACAAAAAAATAATAAAAAAAAACTAGAAATAAAGAGCTGCCAACCAACATCATTGCGACATTAATAAAGACTGTATAAAAAAAATTATATAACAAGGAATAATAAATCACATATATTAAAAGATAGAAAAAATTATAATAAATTATAATAACATATTGTTAAAAATAAACTAGCAAATAATTTAGATACATTTGAATAAGTAATAGCTCACTAGAAGTTGGTAAATTTGATTGGTGAGTCAAAATTACAACCATCTAGATGGAAATTAATAAATTAGTTTGAAACAATAGAAGGTTGGGCCTTGGCAACCGATAATAAACAAAGTTTCTCCTTGTCGTCGAAAATGTATACAATAATTGGTAAAATAAGTGTATTAAAGCTGAAAAGTTGTAAGTACCTACTTACTGAGAATTAAAATTTATAATCCATGTATAAGTGTGACGTCTTTGCTAAGTTCCTTATGGAAAGTGACAGTGATTCTCCTGAAAAACAACCGATTTAGGAAGTGATAATTTTCAAACCACAACAATCTTTAAAAAAAGGTAGGTATAAACAATTAAAATGTTGTGTATCTATCATTTATTTGAAACAATTGTTTTCAGTTATTAAAAATAAATATAAATAAATGAGTGATGACAAACAAGCGTACCAACTAGGGTTGCCAGACGTCCCGATTTTAACGGGATACTCCCGATATCGGAGGTTTTGTCCCGTGTCCCAATGGACTATACGTCGGGACTGGTAAAATATTTATTCAGAAATTGGGAATTTAAAAAAATTCTTTTAAAAGTTGGAAGAAATGAAAAATATTAATGTCACTTATTTTTGACATTTTGGGCATTGATAATATTATACATCATTAGTGCGTAATTGTTCAATATTTTAATTTGTGTTATAGACACACAAACAAGTTTTAAATAAAAGTTATATGAATTTAAAAAATAAGTACGTATTTTAAAAATATTTTTGGGTGTTGCGTTTTTGCCTGGCAAATAAAAATGTATATTTTTTAAATTTTATTTCAGTTTTTTAATAGTTTAATTATACTGTATTCAACCCTAGAATTTTATTTATAATATTACAAGTTTGCCAAGCAATTAATTTTTTCATGAAATTAGAGAACGATGCAGTCCCCAAAATAAATTATCATAATTCAGGTAAGTTTACATTGATTTCAAAATTGTTTGATATACAAAATACTAAGCTAACGAATAGTGGTGATAGAACTGATTTATTTTATACAAAGTGTTTCAAAACATGTCTTAAATATTTAAGTTCAATTTACTCATTTTTTCATTTTAACATATTATAATTCCTTATGAATTTACCTATTTATAAAAATTTGAACAAATCGTAACCTCGCATTTTGACACACTCTATATATAACATAGCAAATGAATGAAGTCTATTAAAATTGTTTAATGATGTGAAAACAATCAAATAAGTATAACTACTTGCAGGGTGTTTTGCTTTAATAATGTATTATAAGTTTGGTCTCAGCCCCTCATGCAAGAGCGTATCCAGGGAAAGGCGAGAGGGGCAGCTGCCCCTCCCCCTTTCCGAACCCGAAAAAATTAAATTAAGATAAAACTTGATTTTTAATTTTTTATAAATATTTTTTTAAAGTTTATCTGTACAAAAAGTAGCTATGAAATCTGTAACGTATGGAGGGTGGGTTATCCCTACGGCACTTAGGCCTCACTAGGTCCATTGCGCATCCTCCTAATATGATAGGCACCTCCTAGCTCGTGAAACAGCCTACAGATTTAATGTAGTTGACAACGTCGCCAAGAGGTGCTTCTCTTATATCGCAGGTGTTAGCCGATACTCGCCGAACACAAATCTTCTAATAAATGAGAGCACCGAGCTATCGTACAGGATATGCTCAATGGTCTCAACTTCTTGTTCGCTGCAGAGTGCGGATTAGTGCTGTGCTGTGTTCATCGATGATTTTAAAACATCGATGTTTTATAATCTGACATGAATGTTTTGACATCGATGTTAGCCATTCGATATATTTCGTCTGTTTTCAAAAGCACGACAAATATTGACAGAACGGCGTAATTCGTTAAAGGGCGAAAAATTACATCAAATATTGTTCTTGCACTCAACTGAAGAATTGTATTAGAAATTATGATTTAGTATTTAGTTAGTCATCATATTTGAAACATGTATTTATGTTCGTATGTAGAGTTCTTTTTTAACACGCTTTTAATTATGAGTATTAAAACTGAAATTTTGTATTTAGCGATGGAGCAGAGACTAGGGTATTTGAGTAACATGCAAAGGCCCCGGGTTCAATTCTAAGATTGGGGAATAATCAAATTAGTTTTATTTTATTATATAAATTAATAAAAGTCATAAATAAAAATATTTTTTTATAAAAATTGTTTAAACAAAAGTTGTTTATAATATAATTCTCTATAATTTTTATTCTATACATAATTTCTCTAAAATGGACCGTATTCGAGATATTTGAGAAAATGTGTAAATTTCGAAATTTGAAGAAAACTCAAAAACGGATAAAGGAAAAAACATTAAATTTTAAACTTAAGGTTTATTTCGGCCTGACGTGAAATGATTAGATTTTGGACAAAGTTGGAACATCTGGGGGGGTACTTTATGGGAGGCCGTTTTTATATTTTATGGAATATATCTGTTATTTATGTTTGGAGAAGAAAATTGTTCAAATAAAAGTTACTTCTAATATTATTATCTATAATTTTTGTTTTATGTCAAAATTTCCTGAAATGGTCCGTATTCGAGAAATTTGACAAAATGTGCAAAATTCTGATTTTTATGAAAATTGTTGAACTAAAAGTTGTTTGCGATATCGATTTCTATAATTTTTGTTTATACATGATTTTTCTAAAATGGTCCGTAATGGAAAAGTGCTAAATTTAAATTTTTCTGTATTTTCGTTTTCAATGAATATCTATAGAAAAATGTTTCGAGGTAGATGTATGTGGACAATGTATATATTTAGTTTATCCTCTAAACATTTATAGAGATGCTGCAATAGGTTGTACAAAATAACCGGAAAATGCCTATAATAACTAGATAGGAAAGTCATGTGTTGGACACATCAGATTTTTTACTTTTGGTTTAAGAATATTTAATATTTATATTTCTGTTTTCTAGAAACATTTTATTTTGTCTTGTCTACCTATATGTTTTAGGATATTGATGTTTTTAATTAATGTAAAAAATCAGAGTTGAAAATAGTTTTTCAATCTAAATTATTAAAAAGCAATTTTATTGTTTGCTCTTTAACAGTAGATAAGTAACTGCCTGTTTTGTTTATACAAATATCATAAAAATAATCCTATTGTCCCCTCTATCGAATTTCGGTTTCATAAATGTTTGTACTAAATTTCTTACTCATTCACCTTCTTATATGAGTCAATCTATTTCTTAAATGCTGTTTAAGGTACCATTTCGGTAGGCGCGTCAGGAGACAAGAGACCACTGAGGCGACCCCAAGGTCGAGTAGGACGACAGATGCATAAATGTTACGCTTCGTACATTTCGGAAGCTTGAGAAGTGTCGCGCGACACTTACAGGATAACCATTCGAGGGAACGATCAGCGTTGCCAGACCTACTGTTTTTACGTAGATCCACTGTTTTTGTCTCTAGCAAATTTTGTTCTTAATTTATTAAGTTTGCCTCATTCTTCAGCAAATGGTTAAAGAATATTTTCTCTAGTAAATTTTCTGCAGTAAAAGCAGCGTAATAAGCATCCACTACTCTAGGTTGGCTCCATAAAAAAAAACATCAAGATAATCATTGTTTTTATTTAAAATGAAACAAAGAATAGGGCATCATAAAAAGAACATGCACACTACGATTTTCAATTATCTAATTCAGACTGATCTAAAAGAAGTAGGTACCTATTATTTTTCATTGTTTTTTTTTTGTTTCCGTACGTTAAGTATATATTAAAAATGTTATTATTTGTTTTTATTCTTTGTTTACCTTCTAATTTGGGTAGAAAAAAAGTTTATTTTTCGTTTCTTATACACTTGTTTTTTTATTTACTACACTGCAAATTTTAATTATTTCCCCCTGTATTAAAATCTACTGTTCGGATCTACGGTTTTTTTTTTTCACCCATACTGTTCCAAAATCTGGCAACACTGCCTAGATCGAAAGAAATTTTCAACCTATTTACCTCCAAAATGAAGCGATGCTCGAGGACAGTGACCTCGAGTGCGACGGGCAGCAAACCTTTGCCCCGAGTCAGATTCAGAAGTGTCGACAGGAAGTGTCGTCTTGACGACACTTCTCTTGTCGCGCCGTGCGAAATGTGTTTCATATAATTGTATGTATTTTAGATGTGAAGCGACACATCTCGGTCGCGTCGGCGGTCGTATGTCGCGTCGGCGATCGTTTGTCGCGCCTACCGAAATGGTACCTTTATATTACGAATATATTAACAATATCGATGTTTCAGAAACATCGATGTTTTTCATTCGATACATCGGTCACATCGATGTTGAATTTCGATAGTATCGTTGTCGATGTCCCAGCAGTAGTGCGGATTCTGATAGCCCCATGATATGGAGATGCTTCCCTACTTGGCAATGA